CCACAACTGATGTAAGACTAATGGACCTATAATTACTTGGACAATTTTTATCACCTCCTTTGAAAAGAGGAGGGACATTTGCTAACTTCCAATCCTATGGTACCTGCCCACTATTCAAGGACTTACAAAAAAATAGTAGCAAGTGGCTCACATATCCAATCTTTAACCTCATTCAAAACCCTTGGGGAAATGTTATCTGACCCAGCTGCCTTATCATTCTTTAAACTTCCCAATTTTTTCTTAACAAGTTCAGAATTAATGCAGTCATCTTGTTTGATCTTGTTTCCATCTATCAACTATTCAAGATGTAGAATACTGCTTAAACCTTCGTTAGTAAAAACAGAAAAAACAAAATTTAATAACCCAGCCACCTCATAATCATCAGGTATGAGCCTTCCTTTATCATCCCTCAATATCCTACCCCCATCCTAACATTTTGTTTACCCTTAATATATATATATATTAATATATATTTTCTTTAATTTTATCTCTTATATTCTTTGTTAACCAACCTGGTTTTTTTACTTGCAGCTACACACTTTTTTCTATAAGGAATATGCTTACCTTGAATACTTAAAAAATTTTCACATCTGATCAGTGTCTCCAAATAACTCAGTTGCCCAATTCAAGCAGGTGATCCTTGTCGCATCCCTTCAAAATAAGCTTTTTTGAAATATATTACCAAAATATCATTATTCCTTATCTCCATATGCAGCAAAACATTGAACCTAATAGAGCAATGATCACTTGCACCAAGATGTTTCTGATTTTCCACCTTCTTGATCATTTCTATATTTGAAGTTAACAATAAATCTAAAATAGCATTGTTTATAGTAGGTTAATTGACTAACTGGTGAAGAAACCCATCCAGAACAGTTTCCAAAAAAACCTTTCTCTCTCACGGTTTGACTCTAGCATTTCCCAATCTATATGCCTGGAATTAAAATCACCCATAATTATGATTTCATTAACAGCTGAAATCTTTATCTCGTTATAAAGATTCTCACTAATTTCATCAGTATCATTTGGTGGTCTGTAACAAATTCCCACTAAAAGCCTTTTCCCTTTGTATCCACTAATAGAAACCCAAATGGCTTTGATATCCTCAACTTCAACAGGATGTAACTCACATTTTACATATAAAGCCATTCCTCCCTCTCTCTTTTTTGATACTCTATCCCTATTAAATAACCTGTAACCCTGTATTTTAAAGAAACTTTTCTCATCAAAATCATCTATGCTTAACCATGTTTCAGTTATTCCCATTATATCAAAATCCTCCATTCCAACCAGTGCTATAAAGACATCTGTTTTATTTCTCTTACTTCTAGCATTACAGTAGTAACAATTAAGCCTATCCTTATAACTATTTTCTATACTCATTTCCTATGCTAAACATTTGTCTGCCTCATTCTTTTTGCATTTAGTTTTTCCTGGCCCTTACCACTGTCTAGTCCTAGTTTAAAAGTTCCTTTACAGCTGAGTTAATAACCTTAGCAAACAAGCCAGCCCCTACCCTATTTAAAGTAAACCATCCATTCCAAAAACCTCGCTTCTTCCAGTGAACTGATCCCACATGTCCAACCAGCCAATCTGCTCATCCAGGTAAAGTAGCAGCAATTCAGTATTTGCACTGAGAAATATATACACACACATACATGACACTTAGATATGACAGAGGATAAATCACAAAAACAAGAAAGTTACTAGCTTGACCACTTTCAGAAGGTAGGGCTTACAGTTTATTGCATTTATATATTTGTTTAGTGGTTTATGCAATAAAATATATAATGTTATTCACTAGTACAAGACAATAAAATTTACACTTGTTTAAGTTTATATATTATTTCAATGAAAAATTTTACTTACAGAAAATCTTTCTATAAATCTGGTAATTAGCTTGCAGTTTTTGTTGTGCATGTAGGGACTAATGATGTAGGAAAAGATAGGTCAGAGGAGCTAATCAATAAGTGCAAGTGGTTGATAAAGGAATTTAAAGAAAAATGATATAACTTAATTTTGTCAGGGATACTGCCCAGAATAAACTGTAAGGATGAAGTTATAAGTAGCTCACTAGGGCTATATGCTAGGCTTAGGTTAGTATGTAAACTGTACAATGATGCTATGTTTAGCTCTCCAGCTTGTGCCAGTCCATCTGCATTTCATTTAAGAACATAACTTATATTTATGTATGATTTAGTAGGAAAAAGTTGTGTTTTGTTTGTTATATTGCTTTGCTTCTTATACAGGACAAATTTGATTGTCATAATTAAGGAAATTTGTTGTAGAATCATACTGATTGATTCTTTTTTTTTAATATTCAGCCTGAAGTTCTATATAGAGGTGTCAACTTCAAACCTCAGATGAAAACAAATGACTTGGTGGTTGATGTCAGTACTTTTCATCCAAAGGCAAATAACTCCCCAACAAGAACTACTCTTATTAAACAATTAAATGGTAAGGTTTCTCCACAACAGAATAAGGACAAGGCTGATGATGCAGTTGAATGCCCTGGATGTTTAAGAATGTTTCCATCACATAGACATATACAGTTCTTAGATCATTTTGAGCAGTGTCAAAAGTCACAGGCATCAGAGTAATTACAATTAGAAAACTTAATATATACTGGTCATAGAAAAGTGACCTATTTTTGTCAGGATTGTCAATTACCTTCTGGATTTATTCATAAGGAAGTTTCATACATCTTAACAGAAAAGTCCAGTTTCATGCTTAATGAAGTTTGTTTATTCTTTTCAACTGAAGACAAGTGGATATTTTCCCATGTCTGAAACTTATTTATTGGAAAACCATATGAAATTAGGACATGTTAATATATATTAATGTAACTTTTTGTACAAGTATGGTTGAGATGTTTGATGAATATTTATAGAATGTTCACTGGTGATCAACTGACACAACCATATTTAATGATCATACCATTAGCTATTTATTATTCTACATTTTTGAGTTATTGGTCAATAACTGTTCAAATGTGTGATGTTTTTCTGATCGTCATTTAGTATTAATGGCATTATCATAATACAGATATAACCATTATTAGGTATTGATTTCTTCACATGTTACTAAAAGTAAGTATCATAAGTATAGACATGATACTGATTTAACCAACGCTTTAAATTCTTAGTCCTGAAATACAAAAGTTTGACTACCAGTACTATTAATACTCAGATTCATAACAGTGGTAAACTATTGATGAAGCATTATTTACATGATATTTTTATTCTGGATCTGATACATTTTGGTTGATATATGTTATAAAAGACATGTATGCCATCACTAGTTCTATTTTTACTGTTCTAATTTTATTTTTAGATACATACATTTTGTCTTTACAATTAGCATAGGAAAAAATGCTAGATATGGTAACTTACAGTATTAAGTAATTTGTAAATTAAAAAATATGACTACAACCATCCAACAAGAGTATCTAACATTTAACATGCATATTTTAGTAATACATGTTGAAATGCAGTACTAGAAATTTTTCCAGATTTTCAGCTGCATTCATATACAGTGTTCACTGTATACAGATGGTGAAAGTTTTTGTTTTGATGGTCAAATTTTCTGTTTAGGTTTAAATATTTATGGTTTGTTGCTCTTTGTTAAAAAAAGTATTTCTTGTTACTAACTTGAAATCTTCTGTGAGGAAATTGTTCTCTGAAAACAAATTCTTTAAAATTAATATCTACAACTTATAGAATTAAAGTATTCCATCAATTTTATACCAAATATTTAAGATAGTATAAAAAATCTACAAAATTAGGATACTTTTTTTTATTTTCAATTAATTAATATTTTGAGCTGTGATGGTATGGCCTTTTGATATTCTTTGATCAATAAGATACATGTTGATAGTGATTTCGTAGAATAATTTAAATCACAGATTACTTATGAAAAAAAAATTGTGATTGTCAAAATTAGTGCAAATGTACTCTAAACTTTTGTTAACATATAAATAAAATATTATAAATTTTCATGAAATTTAAAGGTTAAAAGCATTTGAAACTGTAAATACATGACTGAGTTATTTTATTGGAATTTTTTGTGGTTTTGAATAACTTATATGATTTTTTCTTTTTAAAATATCGTCTTATTTAATATTGTTTTTTTTCTTTAGAGATTTCTTTCTTGTTGTTATGTTATAGGTCTTAATTTTGAACAAAATTTACAAATATATATAGGTTCATCACTTTGAAAACTGGAAAATATTACTTTTGTAACGACATAAAACATGGACTAAGAGGTCTTGTAAGAGTTACCAAAAGTAAGGTAATAAAAAAAAAGGAAAAATCAATAAACAGTGAACTGCAAGTGTATGAATAGTTAAGTTTTCAAACCTCATAACCTAAAAGTGCATATTGTAACTCAGGGCATCCCAAATATTTTTTGCAGTCCACCAGTTGAGCTTCATTAGGCATACTGTTGAACTTGAATACACTTTTATTATTTTTGAAAATATAAGATCTGTACATCATGTATGTTTTAAGTTTAATTAGAATTTATTTTAATTTTGTAGGATTTAAGAAGTAATGTAGTGCTGACTGGAGATGGGCACTAATTTATTGGGCAGTGAAAGGATTATCAATATTTGTCTAATGTTTTTATTGAGAGCTTCTTCAGGAGCATAATTTACATATATTCTTTGTGCCTAGGATACTTAACACTCCCTTAGTGTATTAAAATAAGCAATTACGAAAATGTTGTCAATGATGTATTTTTGTTGTTGGTACTTACAACAAGAATACATGAAAGGATAAATCTTGAAAGCAAAAGAACACAGGCAATCTAGTAATATTCAGAAATTGGAACAAGAGAAATTTTATCACCAAGTTATGGTGATTTAAATTTGGCTTCATTTTAGCAGTCACCAAAATCTCTTGTATTAATAATTGCTGCTATGCCTCAGTTTTACTAGCTGTCTTAAACTTGTCATTAGTGGCAGCAACATTACTTTATAATAATGGCTGGAGACGGCTTAAATGGGTAATGAAGAAAAA